ACTGCTTACAGTATCTGGCAGACGTCCCTGCTTCCCTAGTAAATCATTATTGTGACAGTGTAGCAACAGACCTTTTTCACTGCAGACATTTTGACCTGTCATAGCAAACTTACAAATACGCTTACTGCTTGCTCAGATTAAATTAGTCTTTGCTTGATAATAATGTTTCTACAAGGTGTGATGTGTTTTTACAAAATAATTGTGTTCAATAACCCGCTCCGGGCTTCAGTTTGAAGCATCAGCGTTTATGAGAAATATGGTCATACATTTAAGACACACCAGTGCCAGAAACTACCAGTCTGATATGTTTTGGTTATACCAGATTGATATTGTAATGATACACAGATGTAAAAAATACTTTCTGTTGAAGCTTTTACCCTGAACCAAAACAAGTACAAGAACACACACACATCACACACATAGAGTGGATCTATTTAACTCCTCCGGGGAGTTGGCCTATCAGACAGCTGAGGTAGGTTGCTGGTGGGGTGGCAAAGAATATAAATGGTGCTCCCACTGCCCCATTAGTCCGTCTCTGTGGAAGATGGAGGGGGGTGGACACATGGGGTGGGGTCAGGCTCAGGTGCTGAGCAGACAGGACAGAAAACATCTCCTCCTCTTGCTCTCTTCTCCTCTTATCTAAGTTGTTGCACTACTTAAGCACACCACCTCCATCCATCTTCACTTTGGCTAATCCTGAGAGCTACCTGGAGGCTACCTCTCTAATTCTATTACACCTATCCCAGAGGAAAGTGGTGCATATATCACTGGTTTTGCTGGCTAATAGCTTCTTCTGAAATCAGCTCACTTTCCTCTGTTTATAATTTAAGTATTATCATCTCTGTCTCTGGCTCTGTCGGCTTCGTCAGGGACCTTGGTGAATCAAGTGAACCAGGACAAAAGGATATTTTTAGGCACTCAAAAATAGACTTGTAGTCTGCAGCTCATGTAGACTTTTCAATTATTGTCAAGAGAAAGTGTTTGGGGAGGTTAGTGCAGATGTGAATGTTTGCTGTTGTGTGCTGTTGTTTGTATACCTGTGTGTGTGTGTGTGTGTGTGTGTGTGTGTCAGCAAGAACAAGGTGGAGAGAGTGAGTTTCCTTGCTTGTCCCCGTGGCAGCAGGTGTGTAAATAACACCCTAATAAAAAATGAGGATGAATCAAAGTGCTGAGGGACCAGGACGCCACTCATCCATACGCTCCCTTCTTGTCTTTGTCAAACTCCTGCACTGATCCCAGCTCATCTGCTCTTCATCAGCTGCATGAGGCTCTCTCACTCCTCTCTGGTCTGCTGGGGCACTCATTATTATTCTGGGTCTGTAGGCCGCCAGTGTTGTGGCATAATTTTGCCAAGTGTCCTGCATCTGTGCGGGCTGACAGCTGAACCCAAATCCACTGCTTCACTGAGCCGAATTATAGGCCAGTGGTTTTCCTCGTCTCCCTCACTGTGTTACTTGTTAGCAAAAGGAGCCCAGGACCTGCTAGAGAAAGTGGCATATAAACACCCTGAGCTAAAGGTAAATTAGCTGAGGAAATCACATCTTAAAGAGGAAGAAATTAAACACTCAGTACAAAGTCATTTGCAGTTGTTGTAAATGAGAATGTGGGTAATCAGTCATTGATCACCATGTTGCAATCTAGTGATGTGTGAATGTCCAAACAATTAATTTCAATTTGATTATAAATGTGCGTGTGTGTGTAAACAGGTACTCGAAACATTACAAGACTTAAAATGTGATGAACTATTCTGTAAATTAAAGGGCAAACTGATTTCACCACATCTGTCATTTTTGTCCTTTATCTACAGCCCCATCTCATCCACTTAATATTAGATAGAGGACCTATAGGAGATCAAATGTGCGTATAACTCACTAGAATATGCTCAGTTAATCCGAATCATAATGAGACAAGCCTGTCTCAAGGGCTTGTATCTGGTGGGACGCCTGAAGTCATATCCAGGTGCTGAAGTGTCTTGCAGCAGCCAATGAGAATAAACCCTTAGAGGTAAAGGAAACAAGATGGGATTTTGTTTGTTTGGGAGGGTGAAAAAGTCAGGAAGCAAATGACTTTGAACAGACATGATGCAGGGCAGATAAAGGTACAGGTATGGAGGGACTGGCACATAAGAGTAGATTTAGGAAAACAGCTCATAAGCCCTCAGGAGATAGCTAACACTAATCTAAGACCAGATCTTGTGTTGTGGTCAGAAGCACAGCAGGGTGTGTAGTTTGTGGAGCTGACAGTACTATGGGAGGATGCAGTGGAAATGGCGTATATGAGGAAAAGGCTTAGATATACAGAGCTGGAAGCAAAGGTAGAGAAGCGTGGTTGGAAACCTAAAATCCAACCAGTGGAGGTTGGATGTAGGAGTTTTGCTCATGCAAATCAACCTGTTAACTGACTATACGGGTATACGAGAGCAACGAACATGAAGCAGGCAGTGTAAAACATGGCCAACACGGTAGTTTGACTGAATGGCTGTGCAGCAAGTGCGGGACATATACTGTGAACTTATAATGCTGTTCGTTGTGTTGCTTGATAAGAGGTAGCTAAAGAGGTTTGGCTGGTGTGTTTGGTGATTGCCAAGATGGGATGAGTATTATTTGGTTACATGGTGGCTCAGGCAGCATGCTGATTAGCATAGCACACAGTTAGCATACTAATTAACATGCTTATTAGTTAAGCTAGATAGCAGTGGATGCTTTGTTCCTTGGTAAGAAGAGGTAGCTGTGGATGCTTGACTGTTGCTTGGTGGGTTGTGCAGCATACTGTCGATGGTAGCAACATGTAGCTTGACTTGGAGTTGGCTGGTTGTAGATGTTTAGCATGCTGGTAGGTGGAGATTTAAAGTGAATCTCACTTCCCTAATTGCATCCACGTTTCCCTCATTTGTGCTTTTCCTTGTTCTTTAGTCCCGTCAACATGAGCTGCAAGGAGGAGGAGGAGAGGGGAATTGAGGAAACACATTTTAACTGATATGAGACATCCTTTCCTCTGATCCTTCATGTGAATCGTCCAATCACCAACTGCTTTCTGATATAGTGGCGTGTCAATCCATAGCAGACTTCCACAAAGGATACACTTGTGTATCCTCAGCTATAGCTCCTTCAGGCAGCCTCCTTGCTCCTTGGTCCTCGCTCCTCAGAAATAAGAGATTAGGGATGTTCTTCATCATGGTGGACTAGAATGACTTCTGGGTTGAGCGAGGAATGATAAGATAAGGGAATAGGGATTCACCTATTGAAGAGAAGTAACCTATTATGGAGGATTGTTGTGTGTGTTGATGCAGATAAAGAAGGAGTTGGTTCTAGGATGCTGGAAGACACTGGGTAGATCTCAGTTCCCTTAGTTGCATCCATGTTGACCACACTTGCATCTTTACCTTGCGCCTTAGTCCCTCCCATGTAAGATGTGAAGAGAGAAACAGGAATATTTTTAGACTCGAGATGTCCTTACCTCTGAGCCTCTCATGTCTCCTCCACATAGCCAATTCACTCCTCAATCCTTGCTCCTCTGCGCAGGAATAAGAGCTTTGGGACATCCTTCAAGATGGCGAATCACAAACTGTTATTAACTAGATCACATAAAAATATCTGATAACATTGCAATAGTTGAAACCTGCAGTAATTCTTAGGCTGCACTGGGACAGTCCAAAAATCGGTAAACATATTGTAATGTTGATATGATGCACATGTTAGCAAACAGTTTAGACATCCAGCAGACCTTTCACCCACCTGACTCTTCTTGTACACTTTGTCCTCATTAACCATGAATGTGGGAATCCATCCCTGCCTGTTTGTGGTGCCTACTCTGTGAAACCTACTGTTACCCGCTGTCTCTATTTTTGACCTGCTGGCCTTCTGTTGAACCTGTCTAGCCTGTTTGGACTTTCTCCTTGTTACCAACTATAATCTTGTTTATTTGCCACAAATGTCCCCAAAGTAACTGTGCTTTATTTGGGTCCACTTCCTCTTAAGCCAAACCTGAACCATAAAACATTAAAACAAAATTTTTGTTTAAATAATTTATTTTACATAGCTACTTTGCTTCACCATTATTATTTTCAATTATTCTTGTGAGTGAAAACATAAAGCACGTCACCTTGGCAATCAAGAGCAATTTTTAAAATTGGTACCTTCTCTTGAGCAGTTGTATTTTTGTTGAAAAGTCAACAAGTCAAAAATATATTTGTCTCCAAAATCAATCAAAAACACCTCTTTCCTCTTCTCACTGAACAATTGAGGCAATGAATTTGCCAGTTAGTTGCTCAACTGATTTGCATAATAGTAGTCAACCTTTTGGTTTGATTAGTTTGGTCAGGTTACATGGAGATTGTTTCCATATCTACTTTTTAATGATCAACGTATTTACAGACTCACACATTTGGAGTCTGAGCTTGTGCAGTTGCATGAATTCACTTTTAAATCTGCTTCTTAAGCACAATTACAGGGAAGCCTACTAATTATCATAGCTGGGAACATGCCCATGCAGACGGATGTGAAGTCGTGGGTTAATGTGATATACATATCTTTTGTTTTCACTCTGAAAACAAAAGATAAAGATATTTAAAGTCATTTTAATGCGGACGGAGCTGTGTATGTGTAAATGCGCATGAGTCAGCAGTGGCTTTTTCATATGAATCGAGGATGTTTTGGTACTGAAGCATCAAAGTGTCCGTTTCCAGTCAGTCTTTTTCTTCCAAGACAGAATATAAATAACTCAATAATCACGTTGAAGCATGTGCCCCTAAAATATTTTTAAACATAGTATATAGGCTAAATGTGCCTTTGGGTTCATAATCACCCGCATTTACCAGTGAGAAAATATTAAAACGCACAGCTAGTGGCCGTAAGGATTAACGTTTGTTTAACTTGTACGACTATGTGTGTGTGTGAGAGAGAGAGAGTGTGTGTGCGCCTTACCTTTTTTAATGAAGGACCCCCTCCTCTCCCTCTCTGCTCTCCCCCTCCCTTCCCCCCTCTTTCCTCCATACATCGGAGGCTGTGGGCTGCAGCGGCGGCAGAAAGCGGTGCGGATCCCGTTGTTTGCCTATCTCGGGAGGGGGACCGGATAATCCAGTCGGACCTTCAGTGGAGCCGTTCTCCCACATCTACCCTCTCAGAGCAAAGGCATTCCTACATTCCCAGCGGAGACTGTGATTTACCCACCACAGGTAAGCTCTTTTTGCCCAAGTTTTCCCCACTCTCGGGCTTTCCATACCACTAATGAGCGTACTGCGCTGCTCTTCCACCAGCCAGTGTGCACTGTGTGTCACTGTGGGCATAGCAGGACAGGCTTGTAAATTTCTTCTTCATGTGTTTTTTTTTTTAATTTTTGATAGCGACGATAAAAGAAGATTTATCACAATTTAACTTGGAAGTCACGTCTTACCAGCCGACTCAACGATGAACGGTGTGCACTCATTTTTACGCACACGGTCTCTCAGTTATTAGTTTTTTGTTTAGTGGGTCTGAATTACCGGATCTAGAAGTTTTGGTGGCCAGTGCTTTGTCAAAACGCTAAACGCTGTGTATGATGGGTTTATGTTATATTACGATGATACGTTCATGGTATTTCTTCCAGACATTTGTCACAGTTCCTGTGGAGCTTGTTTGCGTCCTTTGTGACGATTCACCAGGTAAGGTTTATCTCACATTTTGAATTCATCATAAGCAGAAATTGTATATGCGTAAAAGTAGGACTGATATTTCGTTTTACACCTTGGCTTGCTCTTTCGTTTTGCGTAGCAGCAGCTACACACCACGAGGTTTGCATCACGCAAAAGTTTTAATTTACAGGCTTATAGTCGCTCTCCACCTTATATCAGCCCTGTCACCACCACCCTGATTTCCATCCCTCAGTTTTACTGCGCCGTCCACCGAGACGCGTGTTTTTTTCCATTTAAATTCATAAAAACTGAAAGCCAGTGTGCTTATTTGGAAACTGACACAGGCTGTTGAACAAAGACCTGTCACAAACTGACAGGATAATGTTTCATGCATATAACACAACCCAGACTTTAACCAGAAAAGGCAAAACGTTTAGTTTTCCTTTACCAAGTCTCCCTACACACCAAAAGGGTAACTAATAAATTAGTTCAAATACAGTAATTGAGGAGTGTAGTATTATAAGGGGGCATAGTTAAAAAATCACAGTGTTTGAAATCTAGTTTGACATACTGCTGTATCCAGAAAAGTAGTTTTGGGATGCATTAAAGTTAATCATTAATAGCTATCCACTGTATCATACCTGCCAGTCATTGTGTGCAACTTAGAGAGAGTAACAGCAGATGGAGTTTTCCAAGGGTTCTTCAGGCTAATTGTTTTTTAATATGGCTCTTCTGTTTTAATAATAAAATAAGAATAAGGGGCCCAGTGTGCCACTTGAAAGGGTCTCATACACACAAAGCTTAAATAGTTTTTAATAGCACCACAAAGGGGCTTCTGCTCCGGTTCAAGCTGAAGAAGTGTCTTCTGGTACTATACTGTACAGTAACCCTGAGCTGTGTGTCCAAACCTGCAGCCCATACAAATGCACCGTAGCCCTGTACTGTAGCCTCTGTTGACCGGTGATAAGGCTTGAGAGGACTGACTCCCACACTGAACCTTCTAAGTGCTGTGAAGCTTTTGGGGCAAGCTCTGTGACCACGTTGATTATGGGATAATAAACCTATTTATAGAGAGCTTTCTGGTGACATAACTCGCCTGAGTGGAGATAAAAGCCAAGAGTTCCCCACTAAGCCCTTATTTCTGTGTACCACCAAATATCACCACAAACTGCAGTGCAGAAAAAGTTTGCTTTCAGTGGATATATTTTAATGAGTAGGTTTGCAAGTTAGGTTGTCTTAAAAATAACAAAGCAAAGTAATGTTGCTGATCATTTTGAACAAATCAGGTGTTGAAGGCTTGCCGTGTATTTAAATGGCAGGAGATCCAGAGAACAGTGTTTCTGTTACTATTGATTAAACAGTAAAAAATCCTGACACAGTTAGTATTAATGGATATCTTTTACAGGCTTTGTTATGTACCCTCTGGCAGTTGTTGGTAACATTGCAACTCTGTTGCTGGAATATGTTGACCCCAGGTGACTTTACGTCTCACTAATAACCAACCAGGTGTTTTATCAGTCTATGGGGAACTATTTTAATGTGTTGATGTGTTAGGCCCCAAAGCACTGAAGCCTGTAACGCCTAAAGCACTGCAAGTCTGTAGCGATACTTCAGTACAACTCCTGCTGATACACAGCTTACATTTGTACTGCGCTTTCGAAATGCTTATTTCAGGAAGTTTCAGGAAGTTCAAGCACTTTTGGAAGCAAATCTATGCCAGTTAAATGTTTACTTTCACTTTAAACAAGAACACTGCCATCCATCTCCAGAATCCCCACAATGGCAATGTCAGCCTGATCCATAAGAAGTCTCAGTTTATTGATCAGCTTTGAGGGTCTATTATTAGTGGTTAGAGAAGTAAGATAAAGATCCATCCAGCCTGCAAAGTGTGCGGTTTGCGTAAAAATCAAAACCTTGTTTTAACTTGAACATTCCCCATGACCGCTAACACAGGCGCTGTCTGATCCTTTCCCCGTTGTTCTTCTGTCTGTCCTGCGGTCAAAAATTATAAGTTTCAGGCATTTTTTTATAACATCTGATGAAGAAATTACAGAAGTGTAGTTCTATAAGTAGCTCTTGTTTTAATGTTTATAACAGCTGATACCAGCTTGCGTTCACTCACATAAACCTTTAGCGACTGTGGTTCACAGCAATGGACAGAATTCCTGGATTTTCTCTTCAAAAATAAAATGAATTTCTGCTTAAATGAACACTGGTGAAATGAACCAGGGTCAATTAACAGTGTAATAGAATGACTCTAGATGTAATTTATTAATCAAAAGTGAATTTAGTATTAAGTTACCTTTTAAAAATGTAAGATCTTATTGGATTTAATAGGACCTTCTGTCCATTTGCTACCATCTCCTGGACCCCTGGAGGTCCACAGACCACACTTTGGGAATCCCAAGTATAAGTGAATAAATGATTGTGTTTTGCTCAAAAGATGTATGGGAAAGGCTAGACAAGTGACAAGAAGCCATGCATCACCAGCGGTGTGTTTTTGATGCAGTTTAAGTGTCCATGCATGCGCTGTGTGTGTGTGTTTGTGTGCACGTGCGCACGCAGCAATATTAGTATAACTCTCAGATATTAGGCCTTGTCATGTTCAGTAAATAGCCATTCATCACACATGCCTTGCCGTGTGATGGTACCCACAAGATCCAATCCATTAGCCATGCTCTGGGTGTCCACTCAGTGTGATAGTATGTGCATGTGTACGATAATTTATTATAATGCTTAAGGAGTTCTCAGCCTAGAAACAGTGCATTGGAAAGAGAGAACGAGGGATTGTGAAGACAGAATGCAAACCCAGGATCACATGTTTTATTTTTTCCACAACACACCAGTACACCAGTGGGTGGATGGACATCTAAAACTGGAGGTTATAGGAAGCAGTTTGTCTACATGCCCTTTCACCAGTTGTCCCTGCCCACCTACCCAGTGAGTGAGCCAGTTTATCTCCTGAACTACAGTCATATCATGTATGCCTTAGGTTTCTCCTGACATTATATCTATACTGAATATTTCTTCAATTTTGTAACCTACTTTTCTTATTGGCACCCCCGCATTTCTGTCAGATAACACACCACTTCTCCCAGAAAATAATCACAAATTCTTTGGTATTCTCATGTTTGTTTGTTTGTTTGCATTGGAACAACACAAACAAGCAGAAAAAAGCCAAATCTGATACTTTCCACACAGAACTTCAAAAATGGAACGGACAAAATCTTTTCAGAATCATCAGAAATGGTTGTATATCATGTATGTGATGCTCCTTTAATTTGTAAAGAAACTCACCTGGTAAAATAGAAATCACACTTGTGACCAGGTAAAATGGAGAAAAGTTGACTCAACCTTTGTGTCGTGTGGACCACGCTGAGCATGGAGAAAAGAAAGAAGAGCAAAAAATTGTCTGAGGATTTCAGAACCACAGTAGTGGAAAAGCATGGACACTCTCAAGGCTACAAGTCCATCTCCAGAGATCTGGCTGTTCCTGTGTCCACTGTGTGCAACACTGTCAAGAAGTTTACAGCCCATGGCGCTGTAGCTAATCTCCCTGGACGTGGATGAAAGAGTATTAGACATGACCAATGAAGGATCGCTTGAATGGTGGATAAAGAACCTCGATCAACTTCCAAACAAATTCAAGCTGACCTGCAGGCACAGGGTGCAACAGTGTCAGCTCGCACTACCCATCATCATCTGAATGACAAAGGATGATCTGATAGGAGGCCCAGGGGGACCCCACTGCTGACACAGAAACATAAAAAAACCAGATTGGAGTTTGCTAAAACTTACCTGAAGAAGCCACAGTCCTTCTGGGAGAATCTCCTGTGGACAGATGAGACTAAGATAGAGCTTTTTGGTCGAACACATCATTCTACTGTTTTCAGAAAACTAAATGAAGCCTTAAAAGAAAAGAACACTGTCCCTACAGTCAAAGATGGCGGAGGTTCACTGATGTTTTGGGGTCACTTTGCTGCTTCAGGCACTGGATGTCTTGACTGTGTGTATGGCATAATGAAATCTGAAGACTACCAACAAATTCTGGGGCACAGTGTAGGGCCCAGTGTCAGAAAGTTGGGTTTCTGTCAGAGGTCATGGGTCTTACAGCAGGCCAATGAAACAAAACAGACTTCAGAAAGCACCAGAAATGGCTTCAATGTGCTGGAGAGTTCTGAAGTGGCCAGAAATGAGTCCAGGTCTAAATCCCATAGAGCACCTGTGGAGAGATCTCAGAACAGCGGCTGGGAGAAGGAGCTCTGAATTCTGTCCAGTCCATTTTTGGAGTTCTGTGTGGGACAGATCAGATTGGGCTTTTTTCTTCTCTGCTTTTTGTGTTGATCCAATGCAAACAAAATAAATAAACATGAAAATATCAAACACTTTGTGATTGCAACAATTTTCTGGGAGAGGTAGTGTGTTATCTGACAGAAATGTAGGGGTGCCAATATGTTTTGCCAAGACTGTATACTAATGGATAATGGATTTTACAGTTTTAGCTCATTTTCAGTCTGCTAAAGCTTTTTTATTGTGTGCAGAAATCTTAGGTTTTCTGTGGCGTTTTTACCATCATGATGCGATGAACCATGCTTCTAAGTGGATGTGGTGAGGGTACACATACACAGACACATGCAGTGGTGACATGATACACAGTCCTGTCAGTAGTTTCACATTGTATTGCTGATCAGCAGATGACAGTAATGCAACACAGGAAAGAAGACTGCGGGTTTAAAATACTTAGTTTTATATTAAAGGAAATGCATTCAGCACACTGAGAAGACCACAGCAACACACACAATACATTTTTGTAAGAACCTCTGAATGTAAACATTACAAGAACTCCTCCTTTCCCCCTACTGAAGCACAACTGTGGGTGAAGTAGCAACTGACAACAGCCATCTGATGGGGCAATAATATTTGAATTGGATGAACAGAACACTGAGAACCACCTGAGATACTATTTCTATTTACTTGTAAACACTAAATGTCTTGTTTCTTTCTTTCTTTTTCTTTATTTCCTGTTTTTTCCTTCTACTTTCCTACTTATCTACATAGAACACTCCCATAAGGTGAAGAAAAGCTTGTTAAAGACATCAGTGCTGAGGTTTGCTATTCTCAGAGGAGATAACCAGGATCAATTTTCACAGATTGCCTTCACAGCTTTAAGCAAGTTCACTGCGTCAAGCTACTGAAAACACGCACAGAGAAAGAACACACAGAGAAGGGGTTGCAAGCTCACATTGGGACAGCGTCCAGAAAACAGTTTATCAGAGATCTGTCTGAAGGCTTGTGATATTGCCTACAGGCTACATGTACAACGCATCAGCAGAAGCATGGGAGAATGCAAACAGCTATAAAATATTTTTTATGTCTGTGTCTGTAGGTGCCGCATTACATCAGTGCTGTGAATCCAGTGTCTTGTTGTAGGCCTTACCTGAAAAAGTACTTAACTCTTTGTAAATGCTGGGATGTATGTGCATGTGATTTATATTTTGGCAGCTGCACTGTAATGTGATAACTTGTGGATCAGCTAATGTCCTCTGTGCGATAGGTGTGTGTCTGTGCTTTCAGTTTGAAGAAACAGAAGGCATAATTTGTCCCTTTCCTTCTGTAATAAAGCTTTCCAGTGCATCAGTTTGGACTGACACAGGCTAAGTTATGGCCATAGCCACACATCTCCATGTTCAGCTGATACTCAGCTCTTAATTTCTGTCTCTTCTGATCCATCCAAAGCTGTTAGTGCACCCTGGGACATCTTCTCCCTGAGGGATTAATATCACCAATCAATTCAACAGCTTCATCCAGCAAACAGAATGAGACAAAGCGGAAAACGTGCCAAAACAGGCACTGTTTTTTGTTCTCTGCTGTTGTAGTCGTGGATTCAATTTTCTCTCTCTCTGTCGAGTTACAACCCTTGCCTATCTCATTTCTATTTCTATCAACAGGTGACCTGTAACTGGTTGGAGGGACGGAGAAGAGGAGAACAAATGGAAAGGGAGCAGAGAGAAAGAGGATGAGAGAGAGAGAGAGCGGGCCCCAAGAGGTTTCTCGTGCACAGTGGCAGCCCCTTCTTCTGCCAGCTTTTGATTTGAAAAGGATAAAGAGGACTTCGGCTAAAGAAGGCCAACAGGATTTTGACTTCAGTGTGTTTCCCTGTAGTGGTAGTCCTCCCTTTTATTCTCAGTAGGAGTAGTCATGACAGTATTCTGACCACAGAAACACATCCTTTTCATCCCTGCCTCTATAAAGCCAATTGCTGCTTCTTACCTGATAACAGTCCTTTGCCATGGAGAAGACGTACTCACTAACAGCCCACTATGATGAGTTCCAGGAAGTAAAATATGGCGGTCGTTACAGCAGCGATATCCTGAGCAATGGCATGACCCTTCACCTGGGTGGGAGCCTGGACCGTCATATGGGCCGAGGCAGGGGAGGGACCTGGCCTAACACTCGAAACAGAGATCTAAGCAGCACCAGCAGCAGTGGTGGGCTTCCTCGATGGAGCCGGAGGGAGATCTGCCTTCTCTCTGCACTGGTCTTTGCTGCGGGCATGTGCGTCATCTTGGGCAGTATGCTGGCACTCAAATACATTTCCCTGGATGCCCAACAGGACCCACAGTGCCGACAGGACTGCCAACGCAAACGATCTCTGCTGCGGGCGGCTCGCTTCGTTCAGGCCAATATTGATCCAACCATCCAGCCCTGCCAGGACTTCTACTCCTTTGCCTGTGGCGGCTGGCTCAGACGCCATGGCATCCCTGAGGACAAGCTGAGCTATGGCATCATCACTGCTATAGGAGAGCACAATGAGGAGAAACTACAGCGCCTCCTGCTGGAGCCGATACAGAGGCGTGGGCCCAAGTCGGCAGAGCGCAAGGTCAAAGAGTTCTATCGATCCTGTGTCAACATCCAGGAAATTGACAAGCTGGGCTCTGACCCCATGACAGAGGTGATAGACAGCTGTGGGGGTTGGGACCTAGCTGGGGCTCCACCCGGTGCTGCTGGGTGGGAGAGAGAGGGCGCCCCACAAAGACCAGATTTCAATGAGCTGCTGTACAGGACCCAGGGTTTGTACAGTACCGCTGTCTTCTTCTCCCTCACTGTCAATGTGGATGATAAAAACTCCTCCAGGAATGCTATCAGGGTGAGAGCAACATTTATGAGATCAGTGTATTTGTCAATGCATAATGTGTATTTATGACACTGTGAGTGTACCTCACGGTCTGTATATCCTTTTTTTTCAGAAATGTTCTTCCTGTTAAGGTAGAAAATCCTCAGTGTGTTCACTGGACACTATGGCCACATTCAGGCCTAGTTTCAAAGGTGTGAAAGAACGCAGCCCTCTTAATTTCAATGGGGGATTGTGTTCACTGCAGCCGGCAGCAGCACTGCAGAGGTCTCTCTCAAAACGACACAGCCTCATGTGGCAAAAAAGTTGAATCTGGCTCAACTTTTTCTGCACCTCACGGTGCCATCATCTGCCAGGATGTTGGCACCGGTCACGTATGGGAACATGGGTTCTCACGGGAAGAAGACTTTTTTGTTTACCATGAGCATTCGCTGATATTCACTCTCAGATTTGGGCCACAGTTACAAACACACCGTGTGTTTTCATTAGCTAGGCTTTTGGAAGTTAAACGGTGTTTTATATCCATCAATACCGACACACCGGTGGTAGAAATTGATGCTAATTGGTAGAGCAGGCTATGTTAGCTGCATGGCTAACTAAAACACAATGGAAACTTGCAACCTGGAAATGTATAGCCACTCAACGGTGATTTGTCTCAAGGGGGCCATATTGTACACGCCTACATGACACTCCCCCATAACCCCTCACCCCAAATCTCAGTGTCTGCACTGGGGTTTAACACACTCAGACTGAACACCTGCTAAAGGTATGTTCAGATTGAACACAAAGCACATCTTCAGCTCATGTTAGTCACGAGTTTGTCCGCTGGAGTATCATGGTGTTTTCCCTCTCTCACAGCTGTCCTGTGTTTCCTCATCAAACCTCAGCTTATAAAGTATACAGTACCAGTTCGTTCTCCTACCTGAGCATCAATGTGCCGGCTTGTTTGTCTCCTTGGACAGGTTTCCTGTCGCCGAACTATAAGCCTGTTCATTGCTCACAGTTTCAAGTGAAGTCCCTTTAATTCAATCTGCTCCTGCTGTGTGTGTCTGCATCTAGGTCTTCTCCCTGCTGTCAATGCCTGAACTGTGCCACAAAGTGTTTTAGCAGTCTGTTTATCAGTCAGTGTACCAACAGCACAAATGTCAGTCGTAGTTAGCTTGGAATACATCCGTTCTGGTTTGTGTAAGAGCTTTGGACTCTCACTAACCTCTAAACGTACCTTGAACTCCAGCCCTTTTCTTCTCAACCTCCCTCCCTTACTGTTTTCCTGTGTATTCATGGACTGTGGTCATAACAGCATCAGGATAAGCAAAAATCTTTTTTTTGCTGAACTGGAGACATTTTCATCATGTATGTCTTCACCTCAATTAACCCCAAAGTGAAAATATGTCTGTTTCCATCCAGCCACGTTTTTGCGTTTTGTCTTTATGTGCAGTCATATCACTTCTAAAAATTTACTTTGCATCAACAGCACAGAAACGGAGGGAATGAAGCTTCTTGTCAGGTTTTGGTAACTGTAAAATCAGATCAGATGTACAGTTTGATAAAAAATGAAAAGTAACACAAAACGTATACACTAGCTTGGTGGACTAATATTATTTTACTAATATGTGATTTAATAAAAGATGAAACTTAAGTCCAACACAGAATAATTCTTACATGTGGGCATTATTTATTTACTTGGACTCTAAATTATTGTCTGTGTGTAGATTGATCAAGAGGGGCTCACGCTCCCTGAGAGAAGCCTCTACCTCGGACAGGATGAGGACAGTGTGAAGGTAGACATGCTTCCTTCATTCATCCTTTAACACTGCCCCACCATCTCCTCCAGTCCCTCCCTACCCTCCCTCACTGTTTGTCTCCACTGCCTCTCCTCTTTCTTCCACATAATTTCCCAGTTTCTCTTCCCCCTACAGTCCCCTACATCTTCTTTTCCTTCATTTACCTCATACTTGACACCCTTTAAGCTCTTTCTTTCCTTCCTCCTGTCCTCTTTTCCTCCTTTCTTCCCTCTATCCTTCTTATTTCTCCTTCAGTCTTCTCCTCCATCTGTCCTATTGACTTGTCTTTCTCTCTCTTCATCAATCCACCTGTTTTCCGCCATCACCCGCTGTGCTTTTGTTATCCTGTCCACTTTGCCACATGTCACCCCAGTCACCGGCCATTACTGATGATGTTACAGCTCCTCTGTTCTATTAGGACTGATGTTATTGTGCTTCTCAGATCCTGGCAGCGTACAAGGCCCTGATGGAGCGCTTGCTGAGCATGCTGGGAGCTCACAATGCCACGCAGAAATCCAAGGAAATTATACAGCTGGAGACGTGTCTGGCCAATGTAAGCTGATAGCGTGTGTGTGTTTGTGTGTGTGTGCGTGCATGTGTGCACAGTGCTGAGTAAAATCTTCTCTCTCTCCAGATCACTGTGTCAGAATATGATGACCAAAGAAAGGACATCAGCACCATGTATAACCGCATCACCCTCAAGCAGCTGCAGCGCATCGCTCCTAGTGTGAGTACGACACACAGACAGCACCTTTACATGTGTCTGCACATAGGTAGAAGCAGATGTGATGGATTAAGATTTTAACTCCAACTGAGCGGTTTAAGTAGTTTGTCCAGTGTGTGAATGCACGAGGGGTGTTTGGGGAGGCACACACACAAACACACTTGTCTTTCTATAACTGTGAGAACACTCGTTGAGATGACACATTCCCTAGTCCCTTACCCTAACACCTAACCTAACTCTTAAAACCAAGCTCTAACCAGTCTGGCCAAAATGTCATCACAGTGAAGGTTTAAAGCTAAAATTTGTCCACACAAACATAGAAAGGTATGCACATACAGCACACACAAAGTGACTCACAAAAGCTGTCCGCCCTGCAGGGGTAGACAGGGAGACTGAGGGACAGGATGACAGAAGGAGGTAAAGAGAAAAGCAGAAAATGAGGAGACACTGAGGGGTGTTGGAAATGATGGAGGGAGGGGAGAAGAAAAGGGAAAGACATCAGAAACACATGGAGGGAGAGAGAGAACCAGGAGGAGGCTCTCCTCTGAAGCAGTGGGGACACTGAGAGTCCTCTCTTTCATGGCTGAGGATGAGGGATGGAGGGAAGGAGGAGAGATGGAAACTCTGCATGAATTGGAAGGAAGACTGAGAGTTGATTTTTATTTTGTCAGCCAAAAAAACAGACACAGAAGAAGAGGCAGTGTGAATAAAATGAATAAAAGAGCCATGAGAAACACTGACATAATAAAAAAGGAGAAACATGGAAAGAAGTCAATTAGAGGATGAAGATTCAACCAGAAAAACACTGAATGCTACTAAATGGCTTCATCATGTTTCTTTTGTTTATTTGCCTTTACTTGGATTTAGAGTCCAAATTTATGTAAAAGCCTGGAACTCAAAATATAAATTCTCTTTTAAAAATCTAGTTAAAAATTCAAGGATGCTAATGTGCAGCTAACTAATCCTACTGAAAACAGTTTGCCAGACTCACCGTGAAGACAAAATTTAGGAAATTATGGAATTTAACAATGACTATTTCATTTCTGATGATCTGAAGCTGTTGATTCAAAACTTTTTACTCTTTACAGCAAAACAGTTTCTGTTCATAGTCCCTTATCATACTGTAGGTGGTGGTGTGAGGAGTTCAGCCAAAGTGGTGTTTCATTTTTGTAAAGCATGTAAAGGTAAAATCAGTTACGTAAAACATGGATGTCCTTGGGGGTCTTGAACTCCCTGAGTAACACACAGGACCCCCGAATGTCTCTAAATCAAATTACAAAATGAAGCTAATTATTTTCTATGTGTCCTTTCTGTAGATCATTTGCATACTGAACTGTTAAAGGTGAGTCGAGCCCAGAAAAATACAACTGAGAGGGAACAGATAACGGCTTGGCATGGACACCACCCCCTAGTGTGATCAAACTATGAATAAACTGTGCAGTTCTGCTCACTCCTTAGCGTCTTTGAAAAGCCTCATTTACTGTACCTCCTTAAGGTCTAATAAACATAAGTCCATATGCAAAATATCTGTCTTAAAATGATCTTATAAAGTCCTTAAATATTTAAACCAACATAAAAACCCACCGTGTAGGAAGATTTAAATGATTAATGGAGGTATCCAAGTTACTAACGGCATGGATTGCATCTCTGCTTCGTTCGCAACACATTACTGTAACTTTTATTATATATTCCCACGTAGCTGTATGCCAGCAGCAAACTCTGAGCCCGTTTGACTTTAGACTGGGTCACAGGCAGGGCTGGAGCCAGAGCAGATGTTGCACCAAAGTAAAGAGCAGCCATAGAAGAGACTTTTTTTTCCCAGTCTCCTGCAGTCCAGAGTTGTGGCGTCCATCTGCTGTATTTTAAATGCACATTTAATCAGATTTTTGCTCTTTGTGTCATCATCTTCTGTCTCTGCATCTTCTTTAGAGACGAATATACATAAAACTGGATTAAAGATGTCACACTAAACTATTAATACTGTTGGGTTATTTAATGTGTAATGTAACACTAATGGAATAATCATATTGTGTTTTGGGATTTGTGGATCAGTGTTTTGAGACCGTCCTCCTGTAAAATACGACGGTACACGTCGTTTGTTCTAGGAGGTTATTATGATGAACTGTTACGTGTTACGGTTTGGCGACATCTAGTGATTATGAGGCGAAGAATGAAGTAATCAGACTGTTTAATGAATTGGTAGAACAGATTTTGAGAAACTGTTGCTAATAGGTCAGTTCTGGTAGTGAACTTTGGGGTGTGAGGCAGGCACACGTTTGCTGGATTCTCTAGTCGGGAGATCTAAAATACACTAGTAGTCATGATTTGAGGGTAAACTGCACAACCCCTTAATATTTAAACCAGTATCATTCCTCTCCTCACCATAGCTTCACTGGAAACGTTTGCTGGACAGAATCTTCCATGACAACTTCTCAGAAGACGAAGAGATTGTGGTGCTCGCCACTGACTACATACAGAAAGTCTCAGACATCATCAAGACCACATCGAAGAGGTAAAGAAAGAAAGAAAGAACGAGCGGTGGGCTTGGGGTGACTGTTGAGGGTTGTAAAGGGGAGGGGGCAGAGAACGATAAGGTGTATGGAAGATCAATGAAATTAGATGCATGCATTTTTGAGCCTGTACTTTTTGAGTGCGAGTAAGCGGTTTTGTTTGAGGTTGTTTTGTGTGTGTGTGTGTGTGTGTGTGTGTGTGTGAGTGTGTGTGCTGCTATTGGTTTCGGGCTGTCACTACAGTTCTGGGCTATAATGCAGTGTCATGAGGTGTATGGATTGGTTTTTGAGTGTTGCTGCACATGTTTTTGTGTATGCATTCTGTGTGTGTTTGAGGTGAGTCACCGCTGGGTAAACTTCCAGTTCTACTGCAGCTGATTATTATTGATCTACACCCACACCTTTCTACCACCTGCGGACCCAGACAGACGCACATGAACGGACACACACATACACACACACACACTTTCTTTCTCCTCCTTCTTCTTGACAGACTCCAGGGGAGGCCTTAGAAGGCTGCTGCACTTCAGGATGTGTGTCACAGCCACTGACAGCTCGCCAATAGCCACTGTGCTCTACACAAATGCACAACAGCTCTAAGCCCTAATGCATGACTGACTGGCTGGATTACTTGCTTGTCATTTATGTCTGAGTCTGGATACATGTCAATCTGCCTGCCTGTCTGTCTAGTAGCGTAACGTGTAGAGACATTTTAGTAATTTTATGACTCACAAGTTCATGACATGTTGGGAGGTTTTATTACTTCCTCTCACTGTCTCAGGTTTACCAGCTCACCATGTTGTCTACTTTAAACGCTGACTGATTTTGTGCATGTCTCGAGAGCCACGATATTGGTCAGTCACACACAAAATATGTAATCAATTAATCAGTCAAAATATACCTTATCTGAGGGGAATGCCACTGCCTGACCCAAATCTGAGCTGCCGTCTCATCTCATTAATCTCAGCATGTTAGTTCATATTAGGGATCAAGTTCAATAGCATTTTTTTTTCAAATCTGAATCCTTTATCAAAACTGATTAAGAAGTTTTAGTTTAAAAAGAAGTTCATATTTCACTTATTACAGCAGCACAGCAAATTTACAGTGTTTCGTGTAAAAAAATAGCATATTTAATAATCTAGCTATGCTAGTAACACGATTAGGTATTTTAATTTTGATTACAGACCATTTACTAGAGAGTAATTCAAGGTTTGAGTAACATTAGTGCTTTGAGTCGTATTAGCAGTAACCAGGGTGTTGGACTGACATATGCAGTATGTACTCTTTAGTCAACTAACATTAGCTTTGGACTGGAAACTGCATTTCCCACATTTTGTCGCAACCCGGCATCCATAGTTTTAGGAAGCAGGACGTGATGAGAGGGGCAGTGAGCGGTTAGGAGCAGCTTATGGTGTCCGAGTATTTTGAGTTTCCTCTCTAGTGGCTGAAAAGGAATTCGGTACTGCAGCTTTAACACTGACTGGGTAATAACCCTGCTTCAGTCCATAACCTTCCTATTTACAGCTCTCAGTATCTCCCTGGCATGACCTTCCTTAGTGTTTAGCCCAGTGTTAAGCACAGAACCAGAGAAAGATCTAGACCCATTCAGCAGGTAGGACCAGATGTGAACAGCATGACAACACACAAAGAAAAACACAAACCAAACTGTGCCTAATACAACTACCTGAGGGAAGGCAACTGCCCACTATAAAGGACTTCAGGTCATCCCAGTGTTTCGACAGGGCTTTATCATCTCCTCTTTCTACTCTACACCCAACTCTTATTTAACATCAGGTGAGCCCTCTGTCCTGTAGCCTCACACAACATGCAGAATGGCTTTTTTTAAATATACAAATGCTGTTATTCAATTAATTTAGGCCTTTTTTTCCTCATTCCATTCATATTTGTGTAGGAAATATCCTAACTAAAGATGATTCATTATTTCAGTCCTTTGTATCTTTTCATCCTTAGCATTTTAAACAATTTGCTTCTATCAGCCATAACAAAAGATCAGATCTTTTTGCAGTGATTTAGCTCAGCTCCCATCAACAGCCCTTCTACATCAAATGTTCAAATACCTGTTTTTGTTGTTGTTTAAAAAAAAAAAAACAGTTTGTAATCTATTTTATCTGGTCTCCTATTGCTCTCTCTTCTTTGTGAAATGTGTTTTTTAACACAGTAGTCAAAGTTGCACATGCATGAATTTAGGTCATATCATTAAGGGATTCATAATCCTCTTTGGAAAAATAGTTACCTTCACCACTGTCACATCCATTAGCACGGGTCCAGTTCTCCTCGGGTTGCAGAAGCCAGATACTCTGTCTCTTCCTGTGATGTTTACCAGTCTTCTCTGTTCATCCTCCCCCTAATGGCTTTAGTGATGGATTCTACATCCTTCTTCAATCATCCTCCCTCTCTTGTCTTTTGTTCCCTCCACCTGTGTCTACCTGACATATTTTCATCACTTGTTCACCCAGACAGCTACAGTCTTTGTTTGACCTGGACGTCAGGGTGGAGCTACACACACTGTGTTTACTTTTACTTAGTTGTGGAATCTAATGCTGTTCATATCTTTTACATAAAATGCAGTATTTTCTTGGTAGACCCGTTGCAGTTCTCACCCTACATTTGATAAAATGATCAGTAGTGTTCAGTGATATTTAAGATAATTTGGCAAAATTAGTCTGTTAAAGGTTTTGGTTATTAGACTTTAGAAAGTTTCTACACTCAGTTGTACCCCTGACAAGCAAGTTTATCGTTATGTGTACAATTGGTAGAGCCCTATAAGAAATCATTTAATCTAAGAAAATAGTAATGGTGACTTTGTATATGACTTAAAAAACAAAATTTTAACTTGGCAGAAATGGGTTTCCATACAGGATTCCCTCTCTCTCTGGCTTTGGCTCTAACTTGAGTCAGTCTTTTTCATTCTTTCTCATCCTCCTCTCTCTAGTCTCTCCAGTCCCCTGCTCCCCTCCCTCTCTCCATCTGTCCTCCTCCTTACAGCATCTCTTTCTCTACTTTTTGTGATCACTCTCTCAATCCCCCATTTCTTCCTCAATCCCCTCTTTTTTCCAGCTGCTCTTCTTTCATTGTTTCTCATCCTTTTCTGCCTCCGTCACTTCTCTAACCCCTGTCATCCTCCTACTCACCTGCTCCTGTTCTCTCCCCCTTTCTCTGTGGTCATTCTTTCTCTTTTTTCTCTTTTTTCCTTTTACTCATTCTCCATCGTCCTTCCACCTCCAGTCTGTCTCCAGGTTCTGTCTTCCAGGAAGTTGATTATCTGGCTTTATGCAAAGGTTGACATTGCTACAGCAGTTCATACACACACACACACAGTCATAGACATATAAATACACAACTAGAGCTACAACAATTTTTGAAAGGTGTTGCTTATTAAAACAGCTTAGGAGCACTTGGTTAAAAATACCCCAGTTCCTCACTTCAAGGGGTCCTTTCCACTGCTCCCTGTTATTAGCCAGGCACACAGCTTGTTACAAGAAAAAAATAGACACCAGGAAACTGAAGTTGGCGCTCGCAGTGGGATAACAACAGGGGTTTGAACCTGGTGGTGCAAAATTCTGTCCAAAAAAAAAAAAGAGATAATACTGTATTTCTGCAAAAGAATTGCTGAAATTTGAAACACAAGCACAATTAAGCACAAGATTTGCTGCTGTTGTTAGTTATTTAGTGTTAAGTTATTGCAGTTGCATTAGGTTTTATTTATTGTGTGAATTTACTGTGTTTTGTATTGATTCATATGTTTAATATATTGTTCAATTTGAAGTTCAGATACAGTATGTCTTGGAATTTAAAAAAGCTGTTTTTAATGACAACTTTTGTTTTATGCTTCTTCTTCTTTAAGCATTGGTTCTGATACTCTCTAGGCTCCAGCACCCTTTTTAAAAGTATTGTTTTAGCACCGGTATCCAAAAGAACCCCAAAATGATACACAACCCTACTGACAACCCATTAAAATCAGGTCCAGGACCAGTCATAGCACTGAATCGGCTCTATTGAAGGTCCATAATGACATCACTATGGCCCTAGATGCCAAGCGGCCCATTGTTCTTGTTCTTTTAGATTTATTGGCAGCCTTTGACACAGTCGACCATGCAATTTTGTTCTCTCAGCTGGAACACCGGATTGGCTTGAGAGGCACAGTTCTAAAATGGTTCACTTCTTACCTGACAAATAGGACCTTCTCTGTGATGATTGGCGATTTCTCCTCCACCATAGCTCCTCTCACCTCTGGCATTCCCCAAGGCTCGATTTTGGCCCCACTACTATTTTCTTTGTATATGTCTCCACTTGGTTCAGTCATATCAAGGCACAATGTTCATTTTCATTTTTATGCCGATGACATTCAGATTTATGTGCCACTGACACTGGGCGACAGTGGTGCACTTATCCTGCTGCAAAATTGTATATGTGACATAAAACTCTGGCTATCGCAGAATTTTCTGCACTTAAATGAGGACAAGACAGAATACATTGTGTTCAGCCCCGACTCCGCTGCTGTGGTACCTAGTTTAGGTGTCCTAGCACCTGCATGCACTGGCACTGTGAGGAACCTTGGAGTCATTTTGGACAGTGATTTTAATTTTGATAAGCAGATCAGATCCGTGGGTTAAAACAAGTTTTTATCATTTGAGGCTCTTAATGAAGGTGAAGTCTTTTTTTATCGCATGCCGATTTGGAAAAAGCCTTCCATGCCTTCATTACCTCACGTCTTGACTATTGTAATGCCCTTTATGTTGGAATCTCTCAGTCTCTTCTGTGGAGGCTACAGCTGGTTAAAAATGCTGTGGCTCGACTGTTGTCAAATACTCCTAAGTTTGCCCGTATCACCCCCGTGCTTCGCTCACTACATTGGCTGCCAATACAGTATAGAATTAATTTCAAAATATTACTGTTTGTTTTTAAGGCCATAAATGGCCTTGCTCCCCCATGCATATCGGATCTTCTCTCCGTCTATGTGCCACGCAGAACCCTGCGCTCC